GTCAGAGTAAGGAGTAAACTCTAACGACTATTTTCATTTTGGCCTGTGAAGTTTAACAAAACACTAAATCACAGCCATCTTTTCTATGGCTCTTAAAATATCTTTGGTTTCTCAGTCATATGTAATATATACAAAAATATATATGATATACAAAACGTTACATAAAGATCTGACAGATGTCATCTTCCCACATTAACACAGAGTGGTATCTGGTAATGTGCCTAATTCGATTTTAGATAAAGTTAAGCTCTTGAGCCCTAGATAATCCTGGGAAGGCCCACTAGCCACTTCTCAGAATCATATTCTTATTCCCTCTCTCTCTCTGACATCTCAGTTTCATTTGACGTTAGCAGAAAATTTCATGCATTTAATGTTTAAAAGAGTGTGTTATAACCTATGTGTATAGTACATAAGAAAAAAAGAAGAGGCGTTTGGAATCACTTTGCCCCAGAGCAGAAATTGGTTAGGTTGATTACAAGTCTATCACAAAAAGGCAGGTGACAACAGGGGTGGTGACAGGAAAACAATCGTAAAGGAGAGGAAGGTAAAAGAAAGTGAAGAAGCCAGAATATTCCAAAGTCAAAATTGTTTCTGCCACTTTAGCACCACCTGGTTGCATAAGGGCCTGGATGTCCAGGACCAGCTCTCAGCCAAGAGTTACTGTATGTAGTGGGTGAAAAGCTTGAGGTTTGCAGGGCGGAAAGCGAGACCAGAAGCAAAAGCGCAGACACACAAATAAACATTTGAGTTTTAAATCTTTTTAATAACTTTTCATTTGTTTCTTGGTTTACACCTACACGATATCAGAAAAGCAAGAACATTTTAAGAAGAAAAAAGTTGGAAAGTTTAAGTACGAATACTGAAATTGAGAACAATGCAGGAAAACACTTGCAGACTATTCACTGCCGTGGACACACCAGGAGCTGAGGTTGTTTTATTACACAAAGTAACCGGTGCTGTTTACTAACAAATCAGTTCACAATACCTTCTCCCCGGCATCAGAGACCGCCAGGTCGGTTCCCACACCCTGGGTCCCAGGATCCACATCCCAACAGCCTCTTCCTCCTGTCCCTTCTGTGACTAGTGCTGGAAGCACACCATTGAGACAGAAACAAAAAGGACATCATCAAACATCAGCCAGTAGACTGGGTTCTTTGTACTCAGCTGACACATATCCCAAGATAAGAAACATCACAACATCACATGTATAGAATATTCTTATAAGAGGTGCTAAAAAAGTACAGAGCAAAGTGCAGAGTCCCTGCCCCCAGGGAGCTTACACACTAGTAGATGCCAAACTGACCCACAGCATCCATTGTCACCCATCTTTTTACTTTTCTTTCTTTCTAGCGGAGAGATGTTTGTGGCACCAAAAGGGTAGGATTCTGCATCTCACTTTCACTTAATAGGAAAAGTCGCCTGTGGGGGGTTAAATTGAAAACAGGCACCATAGAAGAAAATCAAGGGCCAGTACAAGAGCAGCAGACCGTAAACAAGGTTAGAAGGGAGGCATCCAATGGCAGGAATGAAACATCTTTCTAAGCAGGTGAAGACGGCTAATACTTTATGAGCTCAGAGTCATACAAACTGAGAAGCTGTCCTTATCTCCAAATAACTTAATTTAAAAAATAATTTCCAAGTGTGTTTTTTCCCTCACAGTTCTTACTTATGCTGTAAATTCACAAATACGGTAAATACTGTATATTTAACATATGAAAACACAGAGATATTTCTAGTCCAGAGATATGTTTAAGTACCAAATACAGATTTCACGCCATCCATTAAATCTCCATTGGTGGGATTTTCTTTCTTTACCCACGTGAACTCAGTTAAAATTTATACCATGCTCACCTTGCACATATTAAAACTAGACTTTCCAAAACCCTTTCACACAGAGTCTCATTGGAACCATGTCCAATCAGGACCCTGGTGAAGTAGATATTCGCTTTGTGCTATCTTGAAACTTCATTACTGATGAAGGAAATACTTTTTCTTTATTTAAATTAATTAGAAAACACTTTGCTCTTTGGGAAATGACAGTCCTCTAAGATTCCAAAGGCCTCTTTTATTCCAAAGACGTTCTTGTTTAAGCAGAAATAGCTCCAAATTATATCAACTAAAAATTAAGTTCATTTTGCCCAAGCCAGTCAACACTTTTTCACTATAGTGAACGAACACTTTATAGAGATTCTTCTGTCACTCAAAAAACGGTTCAACTCTTGGGTACTATTCTTAACTCTTAGAGAGATGCCAAAAGCATTACCAGAGAATTAGCCATTCTCTCTTCCCCCCAGTAGATACGAGGACCATCAAATGGGAAAAGGAGCTGATGGTGAACCAAATGAAGGCAGAAGAGTGGCATGGACCAGGTCTCTCTGCTCCCGTATTCTATTTCAGAATTTCAGAATTTCACAGGAAGTAGATTCTACCTGTCCACCTGATTAGGTACTTCAAGGACTAAAAATAGAGGGCCTTGCTTGGTCTGTAAGCTCAGACTGACAGGGGTCCGACTTAGAAGGACCCAGTCCTCCAAGTCAATCATAGAACCAAACCATCCAGTTACAGACTTTCGTTCAGGACAGTGCTTCTCACCCTCATCAACTCTAGAAAGAGAATCAAACTCTTGTAGCACCGTGTTCCAATCTAGCCCAGCACTAAACGCCAGCACAAGACTAAACCGGTACAAGACCCCACCAACCTGCCCCTCCTCTATGTGAACCCTGACTTCAGGCCACCGTAAACAGCCTCTCATGGTTCTAGCAGATGTCAGGGGAGATGTGGATACAGACAGGGAGAGCCTTCGTTGCCTGGTCTGACAGGAGGTAGGTGCGGCCTGTGCTCCGAGCAGCTGCAGGAGCTGAATGGAGCCTGTCCAGCTGTCCCTGGGCTGAGGCAGATCCCTACACTGTATTTTTAGCTAGAACTTCCTCAAAGGCATCAGGAGGCTCTTCTTGAAAAAGGAAATCACCTGGGGCAGTACAACTCCCCTGACAAATCTGGGCTGTGTCCAAATGAAAAACACATGTGCACATTCTGAAAATAGAAACTCAGGATTAGATAAACTTAAGAATAATTATTAGCTAGGGTTTAAAAAAAAAATGTATAGAATTTTAAAACTGTACTGCTTCCATGTATCTTAATTAACCAAGGGATGCTGTTAAAGAAATTCTAAGGCAATTTAATCCTTCAATCTCTAGCTACTAAAGACATTTTATCTGTGCACAGAAGACCTGGTGGAAGTAAGGCTTTTAATCACCAGGACATAATGAAAACTATATCCTTTATGGTCCTATCTCAGAAACCTCTAGGGAACTAAATATTTAGCTCACAACTATACATATAATTCGGTTCTGAGAAATTACCTAAATCAATTCACCACATTCTATTTTTCTGTATTTAAAATCTACTGAAACAGTGTTTAATAAATGAATTCTGACCTCAACTAAAGTGTATGATAATGGTGATCAAGAATCTTCTGGCATTTCTGACTTTAACCCGAACACCAAACCTCATGTGTGTGTGTGTCTGTCTCTGTGCCTGTGCATGTGCATGTGTGCATATATGCATTAGATTCTAGTTTTCTGAGTTATGTTTTCTGAGTTGATGACATGAGATTAAGGTAAAGGTCCATTCATTCTTTAATGAACTGCAGGGACCCTTTTCCAAAAAACCAAAAAGTGTAAAAGCTCTTTCAAGACTGTATTCAGCAAGTCATAGCAAATACAAGGCAGGGTAGGGTTTGGACAAAGTACACAGCTTCCCTGGGTAATGGCAGTATAACCTACAAACTATTCTTTAAGTCCTTGTCCTTGGAACACCAGTGTCAATTCTATAGGTAAAGGAGTCTAGCATATTTATTCTCAGGTATTTTCAAAAGAATACACTCAGTACCCTTCAAATCAGGACAGAGTCATTGCCTTCATTTTATGTGCCCACTATATGCTCCAGGGACTATGCCCAGGCTCAATGCAAAGGCTACATGCTCACTTACAAGCAGTAGGTGATCCAGGTGCGTCCCGAGAACTGAACACATCCTGCAAAGCAGGTTCTCCACAACCTTCCTTGGCTGACTGACACACATCGCTCGTCTGGGAGGCCTTCACTGCAACTTGCAGGCTCTCGGCTAAGGAGAAGGAGGAAAACAAAAGTAAATTAAAAAATGTGTGTGTGTGTGTGTGTGTGTGTGTCTATATATATATATATATATATATATATATATATATATATATATATATATATACACACACACACACACACACACACACATTTTTTTTTTTTTTTTTTTTGCGGTATGCGGGCCTCTCACTGTTGTGGCCTCTCCCTTTGCGGACCCCCGGCTCCCAACGTGCAAGCCTATTTGATCTGCATCTGTTTTCATATGGCCCAGGAGCTAAAAATGGCTTTTACCTTTTTAAAGCATTGTTAAAATACACACACATGCACAAAGACGATTGTGTTCCCCAAACTGTATATGGCCTGCAGAGCCTAAAATATTTACTATCTGGCTCTATACAGAAAAAGTTTACCAACCCGCAATCTAGACCAATACTTTTAGCATTACTTTATGATAGAGAATTAATTCAATAAAAAAACAAACAGTATAAAAATAACTCAAATGCAACTTCCAGTAAATTAGTATGCTAAAAAACTTCCTGAAATCAATTAATTTAAATATGATATAAGGCATTAGGATTTTATTATTTATTTATTTATTTATTTATTTAGCTGTGCCGGGTCTTAGTTCCAGCACGCAGGATCTTCCTTGCCGCGTGCAGGATCTTTAGTTGCAGCATGCGAACTCTTAGTTGTGGCATGTGGGATCTAGTTCCCTGACCAGGTATTGAACCCGGGCCCCCTGCACTGGGAGGGCAGTGTCAACCACCGGATCACCAGGGAAGTCCCCAGGCATTAGGATTTTACAACTTGCTACTCAGAAATATTAGCTGTTCTTCAAAAGAGTATTTCCCCAAATGTGCCTTAAATAAAATACGGATTCCCAATCTTCACCCTAGACCTACTGGATCAGATTCTCCAGAGGAGAAAACAGGGGATTTGAATTTTAAACAAGCACCAATGGCTACTCTTAGGATCTGGTAAGACTGGGAAACGCCACACCAAGAAAGTCAAGTTCTTATTTACAATTAAAAATGTGCAACTAGCTCGTAGGATAGTATAATTCTGAGGACTCTACAAATACTCCTAAAACCCTCTGTCCAGTGATTCAATCTAGCAACTACTCGTTGAGCACCTACTCTGTTCTGGGGGCCACTGGGCATCTGCTAACTAATAAGGAGAGTTTGCAGACTAGAGAAGGAAAAAGACACACACAACTAACTCTGCTACAGGGCAGTGCACGATCAGTGCCAAGTTCTACCATACAGGTATCAGAGCATCACAAAATGCCCAGCAGCACAGGCTAAAATTGAGAGTGTGCAACTTATTTGATAAAGACATCGTCAGGGACAACGAGATGGTCCCTGGTTACGTCAACCCATTTGGAAGTTCTTCTGGCTTTATTTCTAAAATCTACCTTGCCTCTGCCCACTTCTCTCTACTTGCATTGCCAAAAGTCCTGGTCTAGACCGAGGCCCCAGCCTATCTCATCTCAGCCTCCATAAGCACTTCCTAACAGACTCCAGGCAAACTAGTCTCCTTCCGATCTTGTTTTCCATTCAGCAACCCTCATTCTTTTCAAGATATAAACAAGATCATGCTACACCCATGATTAAAAGCTTCCAACAACTAACATTCCACTGATTTGGGAATAAAATGTCTCTCTCTCTTTTTTTAAACCACAATCTACAAAGATCTGGTCCCTGCCCACCCATAGCAGCCTCCTCTGCCTCCTGTCACCCTACCTTCCTTCTTTCACTGAACATGCCAAGCCCATTCCAGATGCAGAGGCTACGTACTCACATTCTGCCTGCCCAGTAATGGTCCTCCCCCAGATCTCCAAACAGCTGGCTTCTCATCTGTCAATTTTCACCTCAAAATATAATCTCAGAGCAGTCTTTCCTGACCTCTCTACAGCAAAGCCTTCCCCTCATCCAATCCCATTATCTTATTTTCTTATGACTTTCTGAAATAAACTTGTTTCTCTGTGCATTGTTTATCTTCCCCAACTAGAAGTTTTTATGAAAGTATTACTGTTTCCTTAGTTGCCACCAACAATAGTGCACACAGTAGGTGGATGCTTAATGAATATTTGATGAATAAATGAGTAAGAGATTCCATCAGCGGACTCCACTTCAGACAACCCCTACACCCTCCTTAAGACCTCAGTCTCTTCAACCGTGAAATAGATACAATAGATTTGATCGTTTCTAAATTCTCTTCCATAGGTAGTGTTCTGAGATTCTAAGGTAGAACTTGGCATATGTTTTCTGCAAACATTTCTGCAGACAGTAAATATTTTAGGCTTTGTGGGCCGTACAGTCTCTGCTGCAACTATTCATCTTTGCCACTGTAGCAAGAAAACAGCCATAGACAATATGAAACAAGCGGGTGTGGCTGTGTTCCAATAAAACTACAGCTAAAAAACAGGTGGTGGGAGGTGGGATGCATTTAGTCCATGGTCTGTAATTTACCAACCCATGTGCTGAATGACAGCATTCCCTTCCACTCTCGGGTGGTGGCTCTTTTATCTCTCAAACCCTCTGTCTCTATTGTCACTTCCAGACTGTTGGCCCCATTTCCTCCCTAAACCTGTTTTTTCCTTGAAGTTCATGCCACCAGATTACACCACTCATTGGAACTCCTGCTTGCCATTCATCTCCAGACTCCTCAAACGACATGGCACCTTGTGCAAGTTCTCTCACCTCCCCCAATGCTACTCTTGTCAGAATTCTCTGTAATTTCAATTCTGTGAACACAGTCCTTCCAGTACCCTGGCCTATCATCTCCCTAACTTTTTCCCCTTCAGTGAGCTTGTCCTCCACCCTCCTTCAGCCATCAATTCCCACGGTTATGCCCTAGACTTTGCTGTTCTTCACACAGCACCCAGAGGGTTCCTTTTAAAACACAAATCAAGTCACTCCTCTACTCAAAACTCTGTACTGCTTTCCCATCTCACTCAGAATGAAGTTGTGAGTGCTTACCTTGATCCGGTCCATGTAATCTGAGTCCTAAGTAACTCTGACTCATCTCCTGCCACTCTCTACCCCTATGTCACTCTACCAGCACTGTCCTCCTTGCTGTTCCTCAAACAAGCCTGGCACTCACCTGCCTCAGGACCTTTGCACCTGCTGTTCTCTACATCTGGAACATTCTTTCCCCAGATATCTACTTGGCTTTCTCACTTACTTCTTGTCTGCTCACATAACACTATATCAAAGAGGCCTTCCCTGGTCATCCTATCAAAAATAGAAACTTCCCAGCCCTATCACTCTCTATTCCACTTACCCTTATTTTTCTTCATAGCACTTGAACCAAACTGACATTTTTTTAAATATATGCTGCTGTTTCTGGAATAAGTAAGGACTCTCTGTTTCTGGAGAGTAAGGATTTTGTCTTATTCTGCTGTGTCCTCAGCGCCAAGACCGTAGCACATGGCACATCGTAGCTGCCCAATAAACATTTTATGAGTTTGTTGAACCAAATCCTTCTGGAAGCAACTTACCTTCTTTCAGTGCTGCTGCCAGTAATGAGGCTGCCTGGGGAGGCTCTCCGGGGTCTGGTTTAATGAGGAGGTGGGGCTCTAGATGGACATCCTCAAATCCACTCAGCTCTCCAAGTTCAGCATAGATATGCAGCTTCTCTTCCAAATATGTGCAAATTTGTTGGTCTTGGTTACTGAGTATTTCTAAGAAACAGTATTTACCATCAAAAGTTATCACATGAATACAACTAATGAAAATCCAGGCTCTAAGATAAAGATGTTGCTAGTTAGCAAGCACTACACTGAACAGGTCAAGTACAAGTTATTGATTGGGTGGGACAAGCCTAGGTTGAAATCCTAACTATTCTACTTGGTGACTGTAGTTTCCAGCAAATGATTAACATCTCTGAGCTTCCTTTGTCTTTTCTGTAAATTTGCTGTACTCAGTAAATGTTTGTTTCATTTCCCATTCCCCTAATTCCCGAAAACCTTGCAAAGCCGATCTTTGTTTATTCAGGCTGTTTTCTATTAAGATTAAACATGAAGGTCAAGAATGAAAATTGAGGTGGCACTGTCCACGATGAGCGCTTCCCACAAGGGAAAACAAAGCAAGGCCTGGAACTGCTCGGCCTTCAGCCAGTCCTGGTCAAAACCAAACATACCGGTTTATGTTTTCCTTTCTCAACATCCAATGTCTTTAACCACCTTCGCATGCATCATCTTCCTCTAATTTCAACATGTCACAGAATTCTTAGAGCTTAAAGGGGCCTTAACCAGAAGCGAATTCAGGGGTTCTCAGTCTGCCTCAGAATCACTGAGGAAGAGTTTAAAATACTGATGTTTACAGCCCATTGCCCTCAGATTCTGGGGGAACTGATTGAGGGTGAGGCCCAGGCATCAGAATTTTTAAAGACCTCCCCAAGTGATTCTAAGGCCCAGCCAGAGATGAGAATCACTGAGCTCATCTAATTTCCTTACTTCATAGATTTGGAAACTGAGGACCAGAGCTATTGTGTTCCTTGTCCAAAGTCATACAACCGTGACCTAACACTGTGAGATCTAAAATCAAAACACTAGACAACAGGTCCAATGCCCATCTGCACCATACTGTCCACAATTGCTGTTATGTTACATGTAGAATTTTTTAAATATATTTTTAATCACTAAGGAGGGAGGGATTCATTTTATTTGAGCATCTTTAGTGCCAGTGTATATATATATATATATATATATATATATATATACATATATATGTATATGTATATAGATAGATAGATAGATATCTACTATCTATATAGATATATATATATGCATGTATGTATGTTTTTGTTTGTTTGTTTGCGGTACGTGGGCCTCTCACTGCTGTGGCCTCTCCCGTTGTGGAGCATAGCCTCCAGACGCGCAGACTCAGCGGCCATGGCTCACGGGCCCAGCCGCTCCACGGCACGTGGGATCCTCCCGGACCGGGGCACGAACCCGCATCCCCTGCATCGGCAGGCGGACTCTCAACCACTGCGCCACCAGGGAAGCCCCTGTATGTATTTTTTTGAGAGTGGTCGGGGTGGGCCTCCAGTGCACAGAATTAATCATTTAGTCATACGTGACTAAATGCCCATTCATGACACCTGGGCTTTCCCAACCTCCAAGGAGAACTGCACGACCCGGGAACGAGAGGCGTCTGCACTATACCTTGACATTGCTGAATTTTGGCCACTCTGGCTTCAGCTTTCTGCCTCTCTTCATCAGACTCACTTGTCCTTCCCCCTTCTTCTTCTGGGCAACTTTAAAAGACAATAGTCAAGAGAGACAACTGAAACCAAATCCAAGTATCTTTAGGCTCATTAGAAAGACATGGGAACTTGGCAGTAGAATTATTCGGAGAAGAAAAATTCAGCCGAAAGAGAATTCATCATGCCCCCTGGCCAAGAGATTTGGTTTTCTTGAGTATATAATGGACCTTGCATAATATAACATAGCTCTCAAAGTCAGCAGTTTAGGATGACTCAAATATTCCAACAAACACACACATACACAAACATACACTCATACATGCACACAATACCAATGCCACCAGTAGGTACAACTCAAATCATAATTGTTGCTTTCTACTGCATTTGGGCACTTCCATTCTTAATGAGGGTAGAGAGACTGGAGGGGATGGTGGTAGGGTGCCAGGTTGGGTGGGGCGCAGTGGAGGAGGAGGAATTTTATACAACATCCTTCAAGATCTAACTAATCAAGTTACCATTAAGAATGATCACCCTCACACCCCCGTTTATAAAAACTGTCTTTGCACAAGTAATGAGGGGTAAGTTGATGTAGCACACTTAGATCCAGCTATCTAAAAAGGTTTATTGAATGATTCTTCAGAATTAGGGACAAAGAGAAACACAGACATGGTCCCTGCCCTCAAGGAGCTTCCAATCTAATAACCAAACATATATGCATAAAAAAGATAATAGCTGCAAGGCTGAAGATGACAAGCACCAAATAAATGCTTTGAGAGCAGGTGTTAAGGAATTTCAGGTAAGGAAGAGACCAGTGGAACTGAAGAGGTCTTCAGGAAGGAGGTGAGCCACGAGCGGCACCAAGATGGGCAGGATTCACACAGGCAGAGGGAGACAGGGCGTTACAGGCAGGAAGGCATGGAGAAAAACGGTGCAGATGAGGGACTACTGCAGGCCGGGGCAGGGGCAGGGGGCAGGGAGCAGACCCTTCTGGCTGAGGCTAAGTTTTCATGCAGGGGAGACACAGTTAGAATATTTTCCCCAATGGAACAAGTCCATTGCCTCAATAATGGACAGAAGGAAATGTTACCTTTCTACTGCCTGTTGGATCCGCCTCATCCAGGTATTCCGTTCCTCCTTGGAGTTGGTATGAATTTCATACATCTCAGGACCAGCAGATGAAGCACTGATCAGAAACATTCCTCTCTCCTCATTTGCAACTTCCCTAGCAATGAGCTTCTGAAGGGAAATAACTGATGGCTTCTGATCCTACAGAAAATAGGATGAGGTGTAGATGAAACAGTGCCCTATTTAAAGCAAGGGTCTCACAAAACACAGTAGCTAAGGAAAGAAACAGTATTAGGCAAATCTTATTTCACTTCAAACTTTTCTCTTCCACAGAAGAGCTGTGGAAGTTCATAAGATTTCCAATGAAAAGGGTATGCTGAAGAGAGGTTGGAAAAAGATACAGGAGAATGTTTGTCCTTAAGAACTCGTGGTTTAAAAGAATATCTTTTAAAAAGAACAATCAGAGCAGTAAGAAAAAAATATCAAAACTGTTGTAATCAGGGATGGAGAGATTTTTCTAGAAGGGCATGGTATAGGAAACAGTGTATCAAATATTACAAAGAGGGCTCCCCTGGTGGCGCAGTGGTTGAGAGTCCGCCTGCCAATGCAGGGGACACGGGTTCGTGCCCCGGTCTGGGAAGATCCCACATGCCGTGGAGCGGCTGGGCCCGTGAGCCATGGCCGCTGGGCCTATGCGTCCGGAGCCTATGCTCCGCAACAGGAGAGGCCACAACAGTGAGAGGCCTGCGTACCGCAAAAAAAAAAAAAAAAAAAAAAAAAA